TGGAGGGGGGGATGTGCCCATCCGAGGGAACGGTGCACCCCCCCTCCCCGTCGCGAAAACGAGGCACCAGCCGTGGCAACGACCCTCCCCTTATCCCCCCCCGCGACCTGAGTAGACCACCCAAGCCAGCGGGGAGCGTCATAGGGGGCGGGGGTTCTGACGTCGATGAAAGAAGAAGGAGGAGAGCGGGAGGCAAGGAACGGGCAGACGAAAGCCCTTTTAGGCTTTACCCGGCGTGTGGGCATGCCCTTTTTGGCTGTTGCGGGGGCAAGCCCGCGCGGTCGCCCGCAGGCGACAGGGCGCCCTGGCCCTCTTCGTGGCGTACTTCATGCGCATGATTGCCCGCTGAAGCGCCCCGCGGCACGGCAGCGACGGTAAAAGACCAAATTCGGTGACGCTGGATCCCCTACTGCGACGAGGAAGCTACAGATGCATCTTCTGTGACACTGGAGCTCCAAAGGACAAGTCAGCTCAGCCTGCCTCGGCGTCAGCCTGCATCAGCCTCAGTCTCAGCCGCAGCCTGCGTCAGTCTCAGCCTGCTGCGCTCCCGCATACCCCTTCGGCCTCAGCCTGCCTCAGCCTCAGCCTGCATCAGCCTCAGCCTCAGCCTCAGCCTGCCTCAGCCTACGCCTGCTGCGCTCCCGCATACTCCTGCGGCCTCAGCCTGCATCAGCCTCAGCCTGCATCAGCCTCAGCCTCAGCCTCAGCCTCAGCCTGCCTCAGCCTCAGCCGCACCTCCGATGGCGCCGAGGTGGTTGCCGTGCGTACCTGCACCCACGGAACTCACCTCCGATGGCGCCGAGGTGGCTCCTGTGCGTACCTGCGCACACGGAACGCTTCTCCGATGGCGCCGAGGTGGTTCCCGTGCGTACCTGCACGCACGGAACGCACCTCGGATGGCGCCGAGGTGGCACCCGTGCGTACCTGCACGCACGGAACGCACATCTGATGGCGCCGAGGTGGCCCCCGTGCGTGCCTGCACGCACGGAACGCACCTCCGATGGCGCCGAGGTGGCTCCCGTGCGTACCTGCACGCACGGAATGAGCTCCGCCGGATTCTCCCGGTTTCTGCCGGCTTCCGCCCGGACCCCCTCTGGAGTGTCATGATGCTCTCTTTCGACCCTACTAGAAACCGATCAGCACAAGTTGTTAGGTAAATAAACACAAATAACAGGATTCCCAATATTTTCCCATGTTTTCTGGGTATTTGTCTTCCCCCCCCACTTCCCATATTGTCCCACATTTTCTGGGGAATCGACGATTAATTGTGTCTGTGTGTTTTTGCCCCTCCTGAACAGAGGCCCTACGGAGGGCCCAAAGACACACGGCCCGAGATTGGGCCCAATTCCATACCAGACGGCTGCACGAGGCCCCGAAGACCCCTGGACGATCCAAACACCAGCCGCAACGGCCCCAAGCACACTTTTTCGATCCGCGGGTCGAGAGCGCACCTCTTCCGGTCGAAGCTAAGCGGACTGCGCGAAGCTTGAATCCCAGACATGCGACGTCCTGATTTTTTCAGGACGGCGCCCCTAGAAGTCCAGACCCTTTCCCCGGGGCCGGTTTTTCGTCCTGACTCGTTCTTTGACGGCCCCGAGGCCCGGCGAGGGCCCCCCGGGGCCGAAAATAGCGAAAAACCTCCCGTCCTGATTTTTTTACGACGCCATCATGTCTGGGATTCGACGGCCCCATGGCACAGGCCCTCCGCAGACTCCGACCGGGGCACCCGAGAGGATCGGGGATGGACAGACCCCCCTTTAGTGAAACGTGGTTTAGTGAAAACGACCTGAGGCCCAAACCTGGCGGGAGCAAGCCTGGAAAATAACGGCCACGGCGCCCTCTCGAGAACCGAAAACGGACAATTCACTAATCGACGTGTCACTGTTGGGGGTTCTGTCCGCCCCCGGAATTAGATGGCCCCAGGCACAGGCCCTCCGCAGACTCCGACCGAGGCACCCGAGGAGGCGAGGCCCGCGCGGGCCCCCCAGGAGAGGCCTCGGGGCCGCCCCGAGGGACCGCTCCAGAGCCCGCTTGGCCGCACGGCCGACTCCGGCATGCCCTGGCCGCAAAAACGCGGACGCCTCGCTTTTCTCAGGGGGGCGTAAGTAGGGGGACAACAAACCTCCCTCGCTTTTGACCACCCTCGCTTCCAAGAGATACCAAGCGATGCCAAATCGCAGCCTGTACTGGTCCGGCCGCTTGACGAGGAGGCGCGTGGTACGACTTGGTTTTGCCTGGAAGCGAAAGCGGGGGAGGTAATTCACGCTCTGAGTAAGACCCGGGTACAGGGGACTCGGAAATGCCCGACGAGGTCGTCAAACAAAAAAATGACGAGGCCGAGCCTGCACTTTGACGAGGCCTCCCGCTGCAGACCTCCCACGAAACTCCTCCTCGTCAAGATCCGAGGCGCGGCCGTCAACAAACGATGGCGAGCCCGACCCTGGCTCCTGATCCGCCGTACTTTGGATGATTTTCCGACCTAAAATTGTGTCGGAAATCGACGCCAAAGGAGCCTCCAGGGCGGAAATCGACGCTCAAAAGGGGCCTCAAAAGTAGGGCGGACATTTCCGCCCTTCTTTCGAAATCGCCCAAAGTGGGGCGGATCAGGAGTCAGGGGAGTCCTGGCAAACCCGGGTCTTACGCTCCCCCGATTTTTTACTTCCGCCGCCTTCTGCCTGCCGCCGTGGGCCAACGGACCCGCCCGCCGCCGTGTCACTCCCGCCGGCGTCCGCCGACCCTTCTCCGCCGGCTTCCGCCGGAGGCGCGGGGTGCGCCAGAGCCGAAGCCCTCCCTTGAAGGGGCCCTGGGACACACAAATAAGTACACACAAATAAAATAACCCCCCATATGTTCCTATATTTTCTGGATTTTTCTCTTCCCGCCCAAGTCGCATATCTTTTCCCATCTTTTCTGGGGGATCGACGATTAACATTGTGTCTTGGCCAATGAAGAAAAGAACGCGTAGGAGGAGGAATAGGAGCAGGAGCTAGCTGTGTGTTTTTTCCCTCCTGATCCCTGTAACGCCACAGATTGCCAGGACAGCCCCGACCGCCAACACGGCCTCGGGACCCCAACGGGCCCCAGTAAATGCTCCCAGCAAGCCCCAAGTCATAGGCTCCCGAGTCCCAGGTCAGAAGCGCTGAATAGCTTACGTGCTGAGCGTGAAAGGACATCCCTGGCTCCTGATCCGCCGTACTTTGGATGATTTTCCGACCTAAAATTGTGTCGGAAATCGACGCCAAAGGAGCCTCAAGGGCGGAAATCGACGCTCAAAGGGGCCTCAAAAGTAGGGCGGAAATTTCCGCCCTACTTTCGAAATCGCCCAAAGTAGGGCGGATCAGGAGTCAGGGTTACGTGCTGAGCGTGAAAGGACATGCCGTACCCCCTATGTTGGCCCAAGATGGCCTCCAGAAAGCCTTGGGATGGCCCACGGGTCACCCCGAGCTGCTTCCGAGCGCTTGAGGAAGATGCCTCAAGACGTCCTCCAAACGGCCCGAAGACAACCAAAGACAACCACGAGACGGCCCAACACTGCGCAAAATCATGCCGAAACGGCTCCAAAGAAGCCGAAGACAGCTCCACGAGATGGTCAGGAGACTTCCAAAAGGTCGCCCCACGAACCGCCAAGGCCATATTCCTCCTCCTCCTTCTCCTCCTCCTCCGCCTCCTCCTTCTCCTCCTCCTCCCAGGGCATAACCCCAGTCCACAGCGGGTACCAAGAAGGCCCTAAGCCATAAGAAGCTCATGAGGGCCCAAGAACAGCACCCCTGTACTACTTGGGATTGTTGCTGGTTCATGGTCCTGGTAGCGTCCTGGAGAGATTCTGGTAGTGTCCTGGTCGAATGAATCATGGCAGTGTCCTGGCGGGCTTCCAGTCGGCTCTCGGAGCGGACCTAGTAGGGTCCACACATGATCCTCGTGGGCTCCTAGCGGAATGCTGGCAGGGTCCTGAGAAGACTCTGGCAAAGCCCAGCCAGCGGCCTGGCAATGTCCTGGCAGCGTGCATGCCAGTGCACTGGTCGTGTGCCAGTGCCGTCGTCGCAAACTCCTGGCAGGCTCATGGCGGGGTCCCGGTGATCCTGCCAGAGAGCACTGCCACGAAGAGAACTGGCAGCATCCTCGCAGGGCTCCTGCCAGAGAGAACTGCCAGAGAGAACCCTGGGAGGGCCTTGGGCTCCTGCCAGGGAGAACTGGCGGCATCCTCGCAGGCGGTCCTGCCACGGCCCCGGCGAGGTCCTTATACTCCATGCAGGGCCACGGTAGGGTCAGGTCGGGCGTGTCCCCCTACAGGCGGATTGTGGGCGAAATATTCTTCAGTACCCAACGCAAATATTCAAAAACAGACTCAAACATACTAAACCAAATCCTCCCCATATCATTTTTTGACCATTTCGAGCACTCCCCCTGTAGAGGGCGGCCGCGGGCCGCGGCGCTGCCGAGAAGTGCACGGAGCTCTCGGCACGCCATGGCAGATTCGTCGCCGAGCTCGGCCCGGCAGCTTCTCTTCTGCGACGGGCCGCCGCGCTGCTGAAACATCTTAATTTCACAGCATGTGGTGACAATTCGCGTCGAAACAAATACCACCAAAACGACAAATGAAAAACAAACGAAATATGTTGATTTATGGCATGCGCGCCTGCGACGACGCGCGCGGCTGCGCTCCGTCGGGTGTGTCGCCTGCGTGCTTGCTGATGTGTGCATGTTTCCCGTGGCGGTGGGAGAAGCAGGCCCCATGCAGGGCTGGAAGTCCTTCGTCGGCGGCAGGCTGGGGGGGGGAGGGGCAAACAGAACCGGAAACTCCCCAAGCGATCGCCACATCTCGCAAGAGTTCTCCCCTCCGATGTGCGGACAGAGCGAACGCGAGAGGGGGAGGAGGAGGAGGAGGAGGAGGAGGAGGAGGAGGAGGAGGAGAGGAGGAGGAGGAGGGGAGAGGAGGAGGAGGAGGAGAGGAGGAGGAGGAGGAAGGAGGAGGAGAGAGGGAGGGGGAAGGCGAGGTCGGCCGGGGTCCTTCTCTTCTCCGCGCGGCCGGCCCAGCTCCGCCCTGCGACGCGGGCTGGCCTTCGCCTTGCCATCGTGTAGGCGAGGGGAGCGCCGGGAAGGAGAGGGGGGAAGCACGGAGGCTGTGGAGATAGGGGAACAAAAAGTGGCACAAACATAAAAACTCTGAGGTCCGCGCGGATTTCTCGCCGGCGCTGGGGCCCCCCGGCGGCGCCTCCGGCGCCGCCCCTGGCGCGCGGAGCGCGCCAGGGAGGGGGGTCCAGCGCCGATCCGAGAAATCCGCGCGGACCTCCGAGTTTTTATGTTTATGCCACTTTTTGTTCCCCTCGGAGAGACCGAAACCTGGAAGCCACAGAGGGGGGGCGCGAGGAGGAGGAGGGGGGAACGGGCAGGGAGGGGAGAGAAGGACTGTGGTTATGCTGCTCCCTGCTGAAGGACCACATCCCAGAAACAATTTCGAGCATCCGGAGAAGTGGCGAAACCGTATCGAAACAGAGTCGGACGAGTGTCTCCCAGGGCCCGACACGTGAAGACCCTAGAGTTTCGGCGCTCGGCGCTCGAAATTCGTCCTGGTGATCGAGGCTGGAGTAGGCTGGAACATCGCAGGACTGTGGCTCGCATCTGGGCTTGGATCCCCTCCGCGCGCGTCTCGCTGGCAGACGCGTGGCACAAGAGCAGGGACGTGCTGGACGTGCTTCGGCACGTGCGGAGGGAGTCCGCGCCCGGGAGGCCTCCCAGGGGGCTCTCGCTCGAGCCGGCACCTCTCGGCCCACGCGGCCGACTGCTCGGCCGCGGAGGAGCTCTTGAAGCCTCGCCCCCGTCGTCGGGGGTCGCGTGGGGGTGCCTCGCTCTCGTGGGTGCGAGGGCTGCTGGCCGCTTTGGAGCCCGAGAGCTCGGGGGAGAACGCGAAGATCGTCGGGGCTCCCTCGGGCAAACGAGCATGTTCTTAGGGTGGGGGGGGGCGCAGGGTGAAATCCACATGGACTTCTGCACCTCGAAGATCAATCAGTCTTGTGATTCCCCCCTTGCAGATTCAAGCCTCAAAAATCAATCGAAACGGCACTTCAGACTTCACCCTTTGCCCTCCACCCGAAGAAAATGCTCGGGACAAGAGCGCGCGAGTCGTACCTAAGAGTTCGGTGTGCGTGCCACACCTGGCACAACATATGAACGCTGCCTGGCTCATCCCCCGGAAACATGATCATGACACACACACCATTCTGTGCTGCTACGCTGTGCACTTCATTACACTTCTACGCCGAGCATATGTACGATGTGTTATGCTGCGCACCGTGCCGCTACCAAGGAGAAGGACAATGCCCATGTTCACGCGAACTCCAATTCTTGAGTCTGTACGAGCAGCCATGGCTGGGGAGGGTGCCGATCGCGCATACCATTCTAGGGCCACTAGACCCTAGCGCAGAAAAGCCGAATTGAGAAGTAAATACGGCGGAGGCACTGGATTAGGAAACCTTGGACAAGGAATCCAGGCTCTGGGAGCCGTTGGAGCTCTAATCGTGGATTGGCCGTGGATATCACCGCCGCCCTCATCTGATAAGGAACCCTCCAGGGTCTGAAGCCTCCTGGGCGCATTCCTTAACCAACGCCTGCAACGTAAGACCGCCCAGGCGACGCGCAAGCGGGGAGCCTGGAGTAGTGCAGGAGAGCACTCGAACATGGCACCAGGAGGGTCATGTCTGGACGGGTGGGAAGGGAGGACGGTGAAGGGAGGATGAAGGCGGAGGAGGAGGAGGAGGAGGAGGAGGAGGAGGAGGAGGAGTAGGATGAGGAGGAGGAGGAGGAGGAGGAGAGAGGGACAATCCCCTGTCCTCGAGGACTCGGCCCCAGGAGGGGGCACGATGGGCGCGAGGCGTGCAGGTCGGGGCAGCACTGCCTCTCTCCGAGGACCGGGCGCCCCTGGCAGCAGCGACCGCGCCGACCTTCGAGCACCCGATGGCGGCACGGAGCAGGCCAAGCCCGGGGACCCGCAGCAGGACAAGCCTCGGAGGAGGAGGAGGAGGACGGAGGAGGAGGAGGAAGGACGGAGGAGGATGTGGAGGAAGGGGAGGAGGAGGAGGAGAGGGAGGGAGGAGGAGGGAGGAGGAGGGAGATGAGGAGGAGGAGGGAGAGGAGGAGGAGGGATGAGGGAGTATGGAGGAGGAGGAGGAGGAGGAGGAGGAGGAGCCCGTGGACCCGGAGGCTGCGGTGCCTCCGCGCTAGCCACCTGCAGCAGAGCGCGTGCGGCACGGCCGCCCGCACCACGCCGTGAGGCCATGGTGCCGCGGGCGACGTCGGCTCCGCGTGCCGCCGCGGGCGGCCCGTGGCGACGAGCTCCGCCTTGCGGGCGGCGCGCGCGCCGCTGCGCTCCGCGGGGCGATCGGCTGGGCCGGGCTCGGGAGACCGACGCTCGTGGGAGGCGTGCGTCTACAGTCGGGGCGTCGACCTAAGGAACCCTCAATAAGGAACGAGGCCCCTTTTTTCCATAAGTGAAACTTCGATTTCCCATCGAAAAATAAGGAAACCCTGAGGCAAACTGTGAAACAATTAAGGAACACGGAGCCCCTCCACAACGAAAAGGGTCCCTTCTTCAGCGCACCGACTGTATCGGCGGTGGACAAACCTCCCTTTGGTACACCTCCCCTCACGTGGAAGCGACCTATATAGGGCCGAAGTCGACGGGCCTGGACCCGCGACGAGTGACGACCGCGACGCCCCCCCGCGAAGCGAGAGCGGCCAACTCCTCGATCGACGCGTCGGGGCAGGCGGTCTGTCCACCTCCGGATCTGTACACCGACCTGCTCGGGGCGTGTTCTGTTGCCGGGCGCGTGGGCCACAGCGGCGTCAGCGCAGCTGCCGACCGAGGGCGCGCACGCCACGCGCCCCGTCCGGGGCGCGCCCGGGCCAGCGCGGGCAGGGCCGCAGCGGATGGCGTGCCGCCCCGCAGCGTGGCGGGCCAGAGCCGACGGCGCGACACGCGGAGCCGAAGGCTCCTGTCCTGTGCGCAGGGGCTCGAGGCGTCGTCGAGTCGGTGCCGCACACCCGCGGCATCGAGAGGGGGGGGGAGGCTCCAAGCGGCCCCCCCTGCGGAGAGCCGCGCACCGAGCACACGTCGGGTCCTGCGCCGCGCACGCACGTCGGCCTCGCTGCGCTCTCGAGCTCGCGGCCGCTGCCCTGCCACACAGGGGCTCCAGCAGCCGCAGCATGGGCACGTGAAGGCGGTGCTCGAAGAAGGAAGCGCGGGCCAAGGCGGCGACGCGGCCGTGCCAGCGCGGGGCCCCGCCGGGCAGCAGCGGAGGCTCGGAGCAGGGGGCCACACGCCAGGCGACACGAGCCTCACGCAGCTGGGGAGGGAAAGGGGGAAGCGGGGAGGGGAGATGCGGGAGGGAGAGGTGGGCATCGGTCGAGGGGGGGCGCGTTGAGGACGGGGGAGCGCATGGGGGAAGGGCAAGTCAGGGGTGCTCGCGCCACATCCGCCATGCCCCCTCCCGCCCATACGTTCTCATTGCGTCGAGTCCTCTATCCACCGAGTGGGGTGCCCTCGAAGACGTTGATCCCCAAATGGCAACTGCAGAACTTGAGCCAGCTGGTAGGTGCTTGTCCATTGGGGAGGGAGGTGGAGGAGGACAAGAAGAGGAGGAGGAGAAGGATGAGAAGGAGGAGAAGGAGGAGGGGAGGAGGAGGGAGGAGGAAAAACAAGGAGGAGGAGGAGGAGGAGGAGGAGGACAAGTAAGACAAGGAGGACGAGGAGCAGCAGGAGGGGAAAGAGGAGGACGAGGATGGAAGAGGAGGGCAGAGGAGTTGGGACGGCAACGTGGAGGAAGGAATCGTATCCAGACATGTGGCCCGCGCTGTGGCGAGAGTGTCGTCCCCACCGACAGAAGCTCTGCGACAACCACTGGAAGCAGCCAGCGCCCAAGCGGGAGCACCATCTCGAAGTACCGAGGGCGCTCCCGACGGGAAACAGACTGGGCGTGGACAGTGCTGCCTGCCCGGAAGCGGGATGCGCGAGAGGGGAAAGCTCAAACTGCCACGTGGTCAAGGGAGAGGAGGAGGAGGAGGAGGAGGAGGAGGAGGAGGAGAAGGAGGAGGAGGAGGAGGAGGAGGAGGAGAGGAGAGGAAGGAGGAGGAGGAGAGAAGGAGGAGGAGGAGGAGGAGGAGGAGGAGTGCGACAGGAGAGCGGCACCGGCACGAGCGGTCGTGCAGCAAGGGGGACTTCGGCCTTTCTCTCCCCAAACGCGCGCCCTGCCCTGCGCCCCTCCCCCTGCTCAGCCCCTTCCCCAGTTCTCCCCGCTCCGCTCCTTCCATCCCCCCCTCCCCTCCTCCTCCCCCGTCCTCCCATCTCCCCTCCCCCCTCCCTCCTTCTCCGCCCTCCTTCCCCCTTCCCTCCCCCCAATCTCTTCCCGTCGATACCCCTCCGCTCCACATTTGCCCCGTCTGAACATTACACTCCTCCCCCCCTGACTGTCCCGAAGACAGACAGAGCCTCTCCGCGTACTGCTCTCTACTCCGCGTGCTGTTCTTCGGATTTGTGTATACTCCGATGGTGGCCGATGCTTCCAAGCGGTGTTCCCGCTGCAGCGTGGGCCTGATTTTCGGATCGGCGCGTTGCTCCGGTAAGGGAACAAAAAAGTGGACCCCCCTCGTCGTCGATACCATGTTCGTCCCCCCCCCTTCCCCCCGACTCAAAGTTGGGCTCCGGCGTGGTGGAGGCCCCGGGGGGGTCACTTTTTTTGCCCTTTCAAGCATGCGCTCTCGAATGTATTCGAATGTCTGGGCACAGCTCTGAATGTGGGGGGAGGGGAGGGGCAGAGTCCAGGGTTCCACTTTCTTGTCCATCTACGCTCCCATCATCGGCTATACGCAAGAGTGGCCCTGGGCAAGAGTGACCTTTGGTGCGCGGCTTTGTGAGGGCCGCGGAGGGACCAAACACGAGCGCGCGAGACGCTACCGTCGCACCGCGCTCGGCGATAGGGGGACCCCCGTGGGCCCGCACCAGCGCACCAGAGGTCACTCCGGCGAAGGGTCACTCTTACGTCTAGTCGAACACTCCTCCTCCTCCTCCTCCTCCTCCTCCTCCTCCTCCTCCTCCTCCTCCTCCTCCTCCACACTCGTCACCTGCCACCGCACTCCTCCTCCTCCTCCTCCTTCTCCTCCTCCTCCTACTTCTCCTCCTCCTCCTCCGCCTCCTCCTCATGTGTACGCAGCTCCATCTTGTCCGATTGCGCATAGCACGGTGGGGTCCTCTTTGGCGCTCCAGGTCCGCTAAGACACGCGTCGGTGGATACAGAAAAACAACTGTGCAATCGGACGGGATGGGCGGGAGGGGTCGGATGTCAGATATGGCGCGAGCGCGCGTAGCTTGTTTTTCCCCCTTCTTCCCTCTCCTCCATCCCCTCCTCCTTCTTCCCCTCTTCAACTGGGATCGCCTTCGACCGGTCGTCCCCAGCCGTTCCGAAGGCCGCACACCTGTCCCCCATCTACAGCTATTGTCCTCCGCTTCCCCCTCCTGCATGCTTCGCGTGCCCCCATGGCCCACTCACGCTGTAGTTGCAAGCCAAGGATCAAGGTCTGATTCGACAGCTCGCGTGGCGAATAAGAAACTACGTAGCACCCCGCAATTGCGGATAAGAGTGAGGGGGCGGCGGAGTCGTCGACAGTCTGCGAAGAAGCCCGCCGCAAGCGCCGATGTTTTACATTGTATAAAGCGAGCCCGCCGCAGGCGCCCGTTTTCTCATCAACACAATGTGGGTGGGTCGCGTGTGGATCGCGTGTGCGTCGCTTGGTGGGTCGCGGGGTGGGTCGCGGGATGGGTCGCGGGGTGAGTCACGGGGCGGATCGCGGGCGGGTCGCTGGCGAGGTCAGCGACAACAGCGCAACAACAACAGCAACATCACCAACAACAACAGTCCTTTTAAGACAGTTCGTTCTGACCTGCTCGCGTGCCATTCAACACGGGAACTTCAAACACTCGATGCCCACCCTCTTCGTTTTCGATCGTGTCCCCTTTGGGGTATGTTATATTATATGTTCCTTTCCTGCCACGCGTAATTAGCCCAACCCCTAAAACAAGGGAGGATAAGACGGCTGGAAGGGAGAGGAAGAAGGATGGAACACAAGAGAGATTAGCAAGAAGGGGGCTAAGAGCAGAAAGCACGTGTCAGAACCAGACTGGCTGATCGGGCGGGTGGACCCTAACGGCCGGATCGGGAAGGCGGGCCCAAACGGCCAGGTCGAGAAGGCGGGTTGCTGAAGCGTGAGTCCTGCATGCATCGCGAGGTGGTCTCGAGCGATATCACCAAGTGGGCCGTGATAAAAGCCCAAGCAACAGCGTGATTCCTGAGCGCCGAGGGCGCATCGTCTGCATACATTGCGAGGAAATCCCACGCGAGATCGCGATTCCTGAGCGTCGAGGGCGCGGCGTCGGAATGCATTGTGAGGAGGTCCCGCGTGAGAACGCGATGTTAACCAAACTTGCGAGGACATCTCAGGCAGGAGCCGCTGTTGTTGCAGTTCGAGGGTCCAGCGGCCCAATCGGAGGACCAAGACTCCTCCTCCTCCTCCTCCTCCTTCTCCTCCTCCTCCTTCTCCTGCTCCTCCTCCTCCTCAAGACTCTCCGTCGTAAAAAAAACAGGGTGTGAACCCCGAGGGGGGGCACGTCAGTTGAACAAATTCGCGGTGCATCGGGCAGAAGGCAGCCGCTGTAAGACTGCTCGTTCTTACCTGCTCGCGTGCCACTCAGCACGTATATCCCAAACCCTCGGTACCCGCCCCCTTCGTCACCGATCGTGCCCACTTTGTGGATATTTTCCTGACCTGCCACGTGTACTCGGTGCAGCCCCTAAAACAAGGGAGGAGAGGACGGAGGGAAGGGAGAGGAAGAAGGATGGAGCACGAGAGAGATTAACAGGAGGGGGGCTAGGAGTAGAAAACACGTGATAGAACCGAACGGGCTGATCGGGCGGGTAGACCTAACGGGCGGGTCGGGAAAGCGGGCCCATGCGGCCAGGTCGAGCAGGCGGGTTGCCGAATCGTGAATCCTGCATGAACCGCGAGGAGGTCTCGAGAGATAGCGCAATGCCCCATTACATCGCGTGAGAAGCCAGGGCGGAGCGCGATTCCTGAGCGTCGAGGGCGCGACATCTGACCAAATGGCGAGGAAGTCCGACGCGAGAGAGCGAGTCGTGCATAAAATGTAAGGACGCCCTGCGCGAGAACGCGATGTTGAAATAAACTGTGTGGACATGTCAGGCGGGAGGTGTGGCTATATTGATGTTGCTGTTGCTGCTGCTGATGTTGTTGTAGTTCGGTGGGCAGCGACCCAACCTGAGGAGGAAGACTTGTTCTTGCAAACGCTGAATCGAAAAACGCGGGAGGAGCACTTTCATTGAAAAGCACGGGGATAAACAACATCTGTTTTTCAAGCAAGAAGAATTCAACAACTCAACAACGCAATGGCAATCCGCACCGCGGAGCCCCACTTCTGGCACGCGCCCAAAGACAATGAATGACCGTTCGCGCCCCCTCACTCTGATGGATGGAGGGTAAGAAGTCGAATGAGGCGCGCGCATGACTAAGATCAATGGCGAAGCCTGGAAGACAGCGAAGCTGTGTGGATGTCCCCTGTGGCTTACTCAGCCAGATATAATGAAACACGCACACGCACAGCGGCAACAACACCTTCGACAAAGATGAGCGACAATTCCTCCTGCTGCTGCTCGTACAGCGAGCGCACCAGGGTTACCCGTGACAAGTCTTGCCTGGGCAACTCTCCCCATGCGAACAAGGAATAAACGCACGAATTTCCCCCCCGGGAGAACCACACTGTTCGACTCCAGGGAAAGGGAAGCAAGAAAGAGAGGGGCACATAAGCGCAGAAGCGGAGGAACAATCCAAAACACCTGTAGCAACGCTCCAGCAAACCTGCCATTGGCGAGCCATTGCGCGCAACCGGGAAATCGGGACACGGGCAAGCTGCACCGTCAGACAGCAACTCGAGACCAGGATCCGTGAGTGACCACGCAGACTACGGTTCCCGACGAGTGAAAGAGGGGAGATTGTTTCCCCCTGTGGTATCACCCGCCTGGGAAGCACAGAAGAGCGGACACGAAGCGAACGAGGATTTTTTTTTTGAACCCGCAAGGCGCCACATGTCTCCAGTCCGACCACCATTCACACGCAACCTCAGCCAGCCTGCCAGGCCCGAAGCGAAACTCTGGGCACGCACAGTGAGGGAAAAACGTCTTATTCAAGGGCAACTACCCCAAGTGGCTTCACACAACGGCACAAGAGAGGATAACTCTCCGCGCAACGAAGCGAACGAGGGGCAGGAGGGCGAGCGGGCACGACGCGAACTTGGGGAGGCAGAGCGACACCGTCCCGTCCACAGGGCCCGGCGCGCTGCCCCAGCGCCAGCATGCGCCAGCCCAGCTGCTGAGCGAACACCAGCGGCGGCGGCTGCCGCGGATTGCCCGACGGGCACCAAAAGGGAGGGGGGAGGGCAGGAGGCAGGGGGTAACAAAAAGGGAGGGGAGGGGAGAGGGATGACAAGAGGGGGTAACAAAGGGGAGGAGGGGAGGGGGTTAACAAAAGGGAGGGGGGAGAGAGCGGCCATGCCCGAGCACCCGGAGGTGCCCCGCGAGTGCAGTTCCAGACGGAGCGAACCAGACAGACCGTCAGGATTCGAGGACAGAGAACTGTGCACGTGCACCGGTTCCGGCCAGGCCCATCCTGAGCCCAGGCTCGGCGCATACGCCCTCTACCTTGGCCTGGAAGGTATGTGCACCGATCCCGGGTCGAGGATGGGCCTTGCCAAGATCGGTGCACGTGTACAGTCCTCTTCGCCCGAAGGATGGCAGACGGCGGAGACGCGGCAGCGGTGGCGCGCGCATGTTGTGGAGTCGGGCCTGTCCCCCTGCAGGAGGGACATTCGAAAACAGTCGATCAAAAAACGTAGGGGGACGATTGTTTTTCCCAGCTTTGACTCTTTTCGAACATCTTTCGACTATGTTTTGAGACTTTCGTCCAAAACCTGCCTGTAGGGGGACACGCCCGACCACATTGCTTGCCACCCCGCCTCCCCCTCCCCCTCTCCTCCCTGGGCCTCTTGCTCTCCGCCTCCGGAGGCCTCCAGGGCTTGCCGGCAGGACAAAAAACAAGCACGACAAGAACAAAACGCGCAAGCCCCTCGATCCTCGAACCTCGATCCTCCCCCCTCGCTGGGGACCGCAGGGCCAGAGCGCTCCGGGGGGGGGGAGAGTGCAGTGCTGGCCTTCTTCTTTGCCCTCGTGGCCGAAGACGACGACGAGGCCGAGCTCGCAGTGGACGGCTTCTTCCTCCGCTCCTTGCCCGCCTTCGCGCCGGCCGCTCCGGCCGCCTGGGCTCTCTTGCCCCGCGAGGGGGGCCAGAGCAAGACCGGAGCGACGCTGTGCTGATATACACAGGGTGGGCAGGGCTCGCCGAAGGCGGCCCCGTCGCCCTCTCGTGCACTCTCGCCTCCCCCTTCCCCCTCCCCCTTCTACAATTACTCAATATGAAAATACTCTCCCTCTTCCCCTGATGGCGTCCGGGTGATGGCCGCGCACCCTCCGCGTACTTTTTTTTTACACACAGGATTCCCAGGAAATCCCGGGAAACGACTCTCGCTGAGGCGCCGGCGACATTTTTTCCCAAAATGCTGCTCTCGTTGAGGCGCCAGCCTCATTTCTGCTCCCGAGTTGTTCCGAATCGTGCTCCCGCTGCAGCGTGGGCCTCATTTTCGGATCGGTGTTTGGCCTCCGTCGTTCAGGATGGCGTTCTCGCCCCAGCGCGGGCCTTTTTCTCGCGCGCCCATCCGCCCGCCACCACCGCGCCGCACCGCCACCACCACCACCACCACCACCACCACCACCACCACCACAACCACCACAACACCAGCACCACACCAGTACCAACCACCACCACCACACACCACCACCCCACACCACCACCAGCACCACCACCACCACCCACCACCACCACTACCACCACACCACCACCACCACACCACCACCACCACCACCACCACCACCACCACCACCACCACCACCACCACCACCACGACAACCACGCACACACGCACGCACGCACGCACGTGCACCACCACCCACTACGCACGCGCGCGCGGAGCCACAGGTCCGCTACGACACGCGTCCGCGGATAGAGAAAATCAGCGCCATGGTAAGGGATGGGAGGGAGGGGTAGGACGTCAGATATGACGCGAGCGCACCTAGCTTGTCTCCTCCCCCTCTCCCCTCCTCCTCCTCCTCTCCTCCCCCTTCCCCTCCTTCCCCTCCTTCTCCTCCTCCCCCTCCCCATCCTTCTCCTCCCCTTCCCCCTCCCTCTCCTCCCCCTTCCCCCTTCCCCCTCCCCCTCCCGCTCTCCAGTCCTTTTCCTTATAAGCATAACTTCTCCCTGTCGCACCCCGAGGCGAGTTTTGGGGGAGGGCAGGGCGTTTCGCCTGAGACTTCCTCACCATTTACGACTCTGAAGCTCAAGAAAAGGGGCAACAGCTTCACAGATGGAGGGCGGGTCGTTTTCAAAATGTGGCTCTCGCCTTAGCGCGGCGCACATGATTGTAAACAATTGCAAGAGCTTCACGGATTGAGGGCGGGTCGTTTTCAACATGTGGCTTTCGCATTAGCGCCGCGCACATTCGTTGTAACAAATTGTAAGCGTTTCACGGATTGAGGGCGGGTCGTTTTCAAAATGTGGCTCTCGCCTCAGCGCCGCGCGCATTTTTTCTAAACATGTGCAAGACTTTCACGGATTGAAAGCAGCTTCTTTTCAACATGTGGCTGCCATATAGTGAAGGCCCGACCACAAGAAACCTTCCACAGGAAACCCAACCCTGAGACCCCAGGACGTCCATCGATGCTTGGTGTGGGAACGTCACGCTTCCCACAGCAAAAGCCATCGAAACCCAAGAAACCCAGGGCACCCTGGAGGCAAGCAGGGTGTTTCCTGGCATTGGCCTCCAATGTACTGGGCCCTTCCTGGTCGTCCTCAGGAGCTCCAAAGCGGCCCCTAAGAGAGCCCTCAACAGAAACCCACAGGCATCATGTAAAACTCCGTCAGACGGAGTTTGGTCGAGGCCTCACTGAGCCTCCTTCGGGCCTCTCTTGGGGCCCTCGTGGAGCCCTCTGAGACCCATGCTCAGCCCACCCTCTCTCTTGAGAGCCCCAAGACGGCCCCTAGAAAAGGCCCCCCAAAGAAACCATCAAGTGTGAAGCACGCCTGGCGCATCAATCGCCTGTGTTAGGGCGACGAAATCTATACATATCCACTGCTCCCAGGCCAGGCCCATCCTCAACCCCGCAGCGGTGTATACGCCACGCCCTCCTGGCTTGGCCAGGAGGGCGCATACACAGCTCCTGGGTTCAAGATGGACATGGTCAGGGAGCAGTGGATATGTATAGATTTCGTCGCCCGATGTGTGCACCACCGCAGCATGTGTGGAGGGGGTCTAGACCCTTCCCCCCCCCAGCATTATCATGCATTATCGTTAGCGTCACCCAGGGGATGGGGGGGGCGGGGCTCGGGTAGCGAGCGTTACCCTGGGAAGGAACAAGCAGCAGACAAAAACGCTCGGCGGGGAGGGGGCGCGCCGCGCCCGCTCCTCCTCCTCCTCCATCTCCTCCTCCTCCTCCTCCTCCTCCTCCTCCTCCTCCTCCTCCTCCTCCTCCTCCTCCTCCTCCTCCTCCTCCTCCTCCTCTTGATCAGCAGCAAGAGTACGCCTAACCCTTTGGGAGGGGACCAAAGCTGGGACGGCCAAACGCATCGGGGGTACGGGGTCTTTTCTGCAGATGCCTCGGGCCAAGCCGCCTGAAACCGATGATCCACAGTGCGAGGACAGGGACCTAAGTGAGGCCACGTCTTCCTCGTGCTATGTGTGTGAGGGGTTCTTTTGGTCTCGGCGATCTCTGTCCATCGCAGCCAGGCGAGGCATCAGCCTATCAGGCGGAGCCGCGACGAGGATAACATCGGGCGAGGACAGCTCGAGAATCTCTGAGATCCGGCGGCTCTGGAGGATATCTCGGGCGCCGCGGCCTTCTCAGAGCGTTCCGGAACGGACTTGCCCTCGCCCTGGCCCCGCCCGCGCCTAAGAGGCAACGGGCTGGGGCACCGCAGTGGCCTGCGCAGTCCAGGCGTACGGACCAGGCGCCATCTTGTTGGGGCTCTCTTTGCCTCGGATGCTGCTGCACCTCGCCCCCCCCTTCCCGAAGCAGCCGGCCTGCCCCTTCTGGGTGGAGCTCTTCGTGCAGGACGAAGACGAAGACGGCTCTCGAACATCCTTCCGCACTTTCTTGAGCTGCTGCTCCGGACGCTTCTCGGACTCGCTTTCGGACTCGTCTCCCTGCGCGCGGCGGCGGGCGCTCCCCTTCTCCCCAGACTTGTGCTTCTCGCTCTCCCCGCCGGCCTTCTCCCTCTCGGGCCCCCTCTTCTTGTCGCTCGCCGGCTTGCTCTTCATGCTCTTCTTCGCCAGCTGCAGCTTGACCCCGGCCTTGCCCTTCGGGGTGCGCTTCTGCGCATCCCTGCCGGGCTTGTGAGCCTCACCCTTCCTAGCACTGCTATCGGAGGAGGAGGACCTGGAACTCGACACCGAGGGCGTCCTCTCTGTGGCGCCGCGTGGCGGTGCTGGCTTCTCGTCTTGCTCCTTCTTCTGCTCTTTCTGCTGCGTCCTGCTCGGGGGTAGCCAAGAGGGGGGCGTCCAAGAGGGGGGGTCGCAACTCATGGCCGGCGGCATGTGCGCAGCCAAGGGGGGGGGGGGGGGGCGGGGACGTAACGAAATAAGAAGAGGCGCCACGAAATCTGGGGAATACCATGGCCCCCGCCAGGATACCCACCCACCCCCAGTCATCACCCCCCTCGTAAGCGTTTTCTTATTCGGCGTGTCGACACTGAGCGAAGAGGGGGGGCAAGGGGGGGGTCTGGCTCTGGACCTCAGCTTAGTGCGACGGTTTGCGACAGTTCGTCCTATGAGGGGAGGCTCCACCTGCTCGAAACGGGCGCCAAAACCAGCCAAGATCTACTCCGGGGGGGGGGGGAGGGGGTGCGAGGGCCCGCGCCGATCAGCAAGGAGGAGGAGGAGGACGAGAGGAGGAGGAGGAGGAGGAAGGGAGGAGGAGGAGGAGGAGGGAGGAGGGAGGAGGGAGGAGGAGGAGGAGGAGGAGGGGAGGAGGAGGAGGAGGAAGGAGGGGAAGGACAAGGAGGAGAGGAGAGGAGGAGGAGAAGAGGAGGAGGAGAGGAGGAGGGAGGAGGAGGAGGCGGAGAAGGAGGAGGAGGAGGAGGAGGAGGAGGAGGAGGGAGGAGGGAAGAAACAAGGAGGAGGAGGAGAGGATGGAGAGGAGGGGAGGAGGACTCTGCTTCGACGCCGGCTCGGTCCTCTGCTCCCTGTCTGGCTGGGTCCGCCTGGCTCCCCGGGAGGAGCTGGAGCTCGCGGCCGAGGGACCCCTCGGCTCCGCAGCTGTTCGCCCCTCTGCGGGCACTGCGGCGGCCTGGCAGGAGAGGGGGCTTCAGCTCTGCAGGGCAACTCCGCTCCCTCCTCCTCCTCCTCTCCTCTCCTCCTCCTCTCCTCCCCTCCCTCCTCCTCCTCCTCCTCCCTCTCCGCTTTTTCTTCCACCCCCCTCCTCCCCCCCCTCCTCTTCCTCCTCCCCTCCTCCTCCTCCACCTCCTCTTCCTCCTCCCCCTCCCCCTCCTCCTCCTCCTCCTCCTCCTACTTTCCTCCCTCCTTCCTCCTCCTCCTCCTCCTCCTCCTCATCATCATCATCATCATCATCATCATCATCATCATCATCATCATCATCATCATCATCCTCAGTATCAGCATCATCGGCATCATCATCAGCAACATTGAAATCATCATCATCATCATCAGCATCAACAGCAGCAGCCGCAGCAGCAGCAGCAGCATCCGCATCACTATCATCAACATCAACATCATGATCATCATCATCATCATCATCAACAGCATGATGATCATCGTCGTCATCATCCCCAGCATCTTCATCATCATCATCATCATCACCACCACCATCATCATCATCATCGGCATCAAAATAAAAATCATCATCATCACCAACAGCAACATAATCATGTTCATAATGACCATCAGCACCATCATCATCAGCAGCATCAGCATCATAATCATCAGCATCACCATCACCATTATCAGCATCATCATTCTCATCAGCATCAGCATCACCATCATCATCATCAGCAGCATCATCAGCATCATCAGCTTCCTCCTCCTCCTCATCATCATCAGCAGCATCATCAGCAGCATCATCACCACCACCATCATTATCATCATCAGCTTCATTATCATCAGCATCATTATCATCATCCCTCCTCCTCCTCCTCCTCCTCCTCCTCCTCCTCTTCCTCCTGCTCCTCCTGCTCCTCCTGGTCCTCATCCTCCTCCTCCTCCTCCTCCTCCTCCTCCTCCTCCTCCTCCTCATATTCCCTCCTCCCAGCGTGGTCGCGCACTGGGTCTGGTAACTGAAACTTGCACCACTACACAATTACACCATTCTCTGTAATGGTATCAAGCATGAACCCTTTCACGTTACACCATTATACCATTACACCATTCTGATGAGGGGTGTAAGCGCTACACCACTAGCCCACCATTACCCCATGTTTAAAATGGTGCACGGTTTACACCACTACATCATTACACTCGTCTGATAAAGGGCGTGCGCTTTACACCATTACACCATTACATAATTATGTGGAAATGCGCCAGGTTAATACCACCACCACGAACCTTAGCACAACGATGGGTGATCTTCCAATGCGAAGATGTGGTGTTCGACAAATTTCCGCAAGGACTTTTAAGGGCCTTGGTAACTCTCATGACAATTCGGAGAGGGCCGAACAGGGCTCCCAGAGGGCTCTGTGGACCCCCCGGGAATTTTGGGAGAACGCATTTGGCGATTCCTTTGAAATCTCGGAGACGGCCGCACAGGGCTCCAAGAGGGGTTTCGGGAAACCTCCCCCCAAGGACTCTTAGGTGGGGTTGTGGATATGCATTTGGCGATTCCCTTGAAAACTCGGAGACGGCCGAACAAGGCTCCCACAGGGTCCTGTGGAAAACCTCCCCCTAAGGATCCTTACTGGGTGGGGTTTTGTGAGAACGCATTTGGCGACTCCCTTGAAAGCCAGGAGACGGCCGAACAGGGCCCAAAGAGGGCACTTTGGAAAACCTTCTGATGATCCTTAAGGTAGGGTTTTGCGGAAACGCATTTGGCGACTCCCACGCCAGTTGGAGACGGCCGATCAAGGTCCCACGAGCCAAGATGACCCTTCGGATTTTCCCCTGAGGATTCTTATGGGGGGTGGTTGTGGAAACGCATCTGGGGAATTCCGTGAAAACCTGGAGACGGCCGAACACATAAGAGAAATCGAATAACGACGAACTCCCGAATGTAATCAAAAGTACGTGGAGAGGGTCGGAGATTTTCCGGACAGAGTCAGGGGACAGGGGAGAGTAGTAACTACCCGTCTTGTGCAACAGTGGAGGGGGAGAAGGAAGAGGAGGTGGGAGGGGGCAGTGGAGGATCCTGGGCCGAGGACGGGCCTGTCCAGGATCCGTGCGAGGTGTGCAGCTGGCGCCCCCCTGCCCCACTGGCCACGGCGGCGGCAGCAGCGGCGGCGACGACGACGACGAGAGGGACGAGGGGGGGGGACGACAGCAGACGACGCGCGAGAGGGCCCGGAGGCAGCCGAGGAGGGCTCCAAGAGGGCACGTTGGACCCCCCCCCCCCTGGAGCATCCTTTAGGGGAGGGGCTCTTCTGGAACGCAAGTGGCGGCGACCCCTGCCCTGGCTCCTGATCCGCCGTACTTTGGATGATTTTCCGACCTAAAATTGTGTCGGAAATCGACCCCAAAGGAGCCTCAAGGGCGGAAATCGACGCTCACAGGGGCCTCAAAAGTAGGGCGGAAATTTCCGCCCTACTTTCGAAATCGCCCAAAGTAGGGCGGATCAGGAGTCAGGGCTGGGGAAGCCTGGGGGCGGCCGCAGTTGGCGGCAACCCCTGGGGAATTCTGGACCCCCCCCCCAAGAACCCTTAGGGTTATGTTGCTCCCATCGCACTTAAGGGCCACATCCCAGAAATCATTTCGAGCACCCAGAAAAGTATCGAAACAGTGTCGAAAGAGTGTCTCCCAGGGCCCGACACGTGAAAACCCTCGAGTTTGGAGGTGTTTTCCTGGTGCTCGAAATTCATTATGGTGATCAAGGCTAAAGTAGGTTGGAACATCATAACCTTAGGGGGGGGGTCGGGCCCGACCATTACACCACTGCACCACTACACCACTACACCCTCTCGCTGGCGCGCCACACCAGCGCTGCACCGTTACGCCCCTGCACCGCTTGCACCGACTACCGCGAGGGCCCGGAAACGGCCGAAGAGGGCATCCAAGAGGGCGTTGGGAAACGATTTTGATCACCCCCGAGAAAGGATGGAGGCGGCCGAAGGAGGGCTTCAAGGGGAGCCTCTGAAAAGGGTGGAGAGGAATCGGGAACGCATTCGTCGCGTCGTCGACGACAACGAAGGCAATCGGCGACGACCACGCCCACGACAAGTGTATGGCGTGATGGCGTAATGGCGTAATGGTGTATGATGGTGTTATGGTGTGAGTCTTATCCTATTCCCCGGAATGGTGTAATGGTGTAATGATGTAAATATGACGCCTGTTCAAAAATCGTGTAACGGTGTAGTGGTGCAGTGGTGTGCCCGTGCACCGTTCTGAGAGTGGTGTGATGGTGTAGGGGTGCAGCGGCGCACCCTTCTACACAATGGTGCAATGGTGTAATGGTCGAATGGTGCAAGTTTCAATTGTCAGACCCAGGTTGCGACCACAATGCCTCCTCCCTCCTCCTCCTCCTCCTCCTCCTCCTCCTCCTCATCATCATCATCATCATCATCATCATCATCATCAGCATCATCATCATCATCATCAGCATCAGCATCATCATCATCATCATCATCATCGTCATCATCATCATC